ACTAGAAAGAAGCATCCTGTGTGGACTATAGGGAAACAAAGATTGTGATGGAACTGGGGTATTGCACTACAGGGAAATGAGCATCCTGATTAGACTGGAGGAAAATAATGATTCTGAATGACTCTTCACCCTCTTCCAGTCTTATCTTTCTATGAGATTATAGTTTCAAATTAAGATTTTATCCAGGTAGTGCTTTTTACTTTAAAAATATTCACTTACTATTTCATGCACTTCTACTTATTCAGGTAGGTAGAATAAGCAGATCATCCCCATCCAATAGATGAGGGGGCACCTGGGGATGGGTGGTTAAAAGTTGCATCAAGTCACCCAGCTAATAACTGTCACCATCAGAACCATCCATTTTTCTTCCCACCCACAATTCCAGCATGTACTATAAAAAAAAATTCCACTTAGTTCCACAAAAATATATTCAGTTGCGTATTCAAAAGTTAATGCTCATCTGCGACATTAAAATACATCTACCCAGAAGGGGTAAAAAAGGAACACAATCCACCCAAAAGGACAAAGAGGAAAAAAATACACTATGGCTGTCCAGGCTTCGCATTTGTTTGCAAAACTGATGCCAAAGTTTTGGTAACATCTGCATCTTTTGTCATAACCACAAAACCGAAAACTATAATGCTATGATAACATGTTGGGTTTGCATTTTGAAGAGATTCACATGTCTCTAAGGAGTTACAAAACCATACACAGATCCATATGCACAAGCAACTTAGAACAATGCTGGCTACAAGTAGATCCAGCTGGAAAGAGAACTCGGCATTTGTCTGGGTTGGCAAGCACTCCTTCCCAAGCAATCTGAAGGACTCCTGGAGTTGCTCAAGTATTATGATACGTCAAAATTTCCTGGGGAGCCTGCAAAGACATAGGTTCTGATGCTACAGGTTTACCAAGGAGCCCGACTATGTCTTTGAACCAGAACTCTCCATTATTCTGATGCCATCAGGGCTCAGACATCTTTGTAGAACACTGTTCTACTCTGCCCAGTGAAAGTCCAACCTCAAGGACAGCAAGAGAGCCAAGGGGCTGACTTGTGAGCATTGTGGAGGCTGAATTCAGGGTGACTCTTACAAACTAGCAACAGCCAAACCTGAAGGTGACACTGTTGGGCCCCGACTTATAGAACTTTTATTGGTAGCAACACATAGCTAAAAGTTTAAAAACAAATGAGAAGTAACTGTCAATTATTTATTAATTTCCACATTTAACATCTCATATCTCATATTGCACTGAGATTCATTCCCTCTTCAACCATCTAGGTATCTCTGAAATAATCAGCGCTAGAATTGCCTAATCTGTCAATAAGGTAAGAGTTTTCTAAACTATTATCCATATGACTCAATTTGTCAGTAAAAACTGCCACCAGTGCTGTGCTTGCAGAAAAATGTCCATAAATGCATTATTGTGACTGGCAGATCGATGTCTATAATAAAAACAAATAGATTTAACAAGTGCCTGCTTTTACGAGCCACACTATTGGTAGATTCTACATTCAGTGTCACCCCAGGACTTCTGGGAATGGGCCACAAAGCTAGGGTTGGCTACTGTGCTGATTTCACAAGTGTTATGGGTAGGAAATTACTCTAACAAGAAAATTTGAGAATTTGAGAGGGGATATACTGGGCATTTATGGTTCTCTCACAATTCTTTTCACAGCTACATATATATACACACAATGATAAGTTTAACAGCCATAAATAATGTCTGGCTTTTACAAAAGCTACATCATAAGCCAAATAAGTTTATTCCAAGCGGGGTGCACAGGACATGTGGTTCCTTGGGGATCCCTACTCTCCTGATAACAATTCATGGAATAGAAAACAAGTGACTGCTAAACGTGTGGCCAAGGGGATCACTGCTGTGTCAGTAGCCCTAGAGCAGCCCATTTCAGTATTTCATAGGGGCAAACTTGAGTGCACAATGCAATCACAGCACTTTGGCAAGACATGAGCCACATCTGCCAAAGCCACCAATTCCTTCAAAGATTACAAAATGATTAATTTATTTGAATAGTTACAGGAAGAAATAAGTCACTCAATACATTCTACTATATTCGCTATATGGCTTCTTCCAAACCATCCAACCCTCCTCTGTAAATTCTTTATTAATGTTAATTTTTTAAGTCAAATGAAAACTAGACTGCTTTCATAGATCAGCAGATATACAGCAGCTACTCAAATGCCAAAAATTCACCATGGTATTGTGTCTCCAAATTGTACCTACCCATGTTCAGGACAGGATCCCAGAACAAACAGAATGGGAAAATATATGGTGCCCAGCAAAGGAGAACCAGCCTCCCACTGAGCTCTAACCTCCTCCCCAGCCCTAGAGAAACACTTTCACTTTCACTTCAAATCAATAATGGGATGTTGGGTCAGCTGTTTGTCAGTGTTTGTAAACAAGCTAACTGGGAGCCCACAGTCACCAAATGAAACTATGGTGCATGTGTGTCTACACATATATACATATATATACACACACATGCACCAGTGTACATATATATATAATATATAGAATATACTATATATAGTATACATATGTGTGTATATATATTTATACACATATATAATATCTCCCCAAGTTTTATTTAAATGATAAGTCTGCAATAACATGCCAGTTTATCAGTATATCACGAATTATCTATTCAGGAGACAGAGGTTCGGAAAAGCTGTGGCAGCAGCTTCCCAGGGACTTTCAAAGCCTGAGAAGCTTAGTGTATTCACAAGAACTGAAACCCAACCAGAAGCCAGAGGCCTCAGGAAAAGCACATCTAGATAGAGAACGTCAAGCTGGAATAGGGAGTTGGGCAGGTCAGAGTGAAGTATAAAACTCAAAACTAAAAACACAGACAGTTCCCAACTTACACAGTTTGATTTGCTGTTTTCCAACTTTACCATGGTTCAGAAGCACTATGCATTCAGCACACACCATACTTTGAATTTGGAATTTGGATCTCTTCCATGGCTAGTGAATTGCGATGTGATCCTGTAATCCTGCCAGACAGTTCAGCAGCTCCATGTCAGAAGCAGCCCACACTCTCAAATGTGATATGATGCTAAGTGAGGATACTGGGAAAAGCTGAAAAGTATGTATAACATCCACCCATTATCAAAAGAAAAGAGAATTCAGAAAATACTGCTTTGTTTCCATTTTCTATCAAGAATAGGCTCTATATGGAACAAGGTTTTAATACTTCAAAAAGAGAAGTTTTAATAGTTTGAATCACTGGTTCCTAAATGTTTGTCCACCACAAAATTAAAATAACAACTCAGTAATGGATTTTATTAACAAATACTGAAGAAACTCAAATGCAGTGGCTCCTGAGCAGAAAGGAATAAATTCCTAGCGAATTATAGGGAACAGGAGCTCCCTACTGCTCCCTGTTCCCTGTTCTGTTAGGAAGGAAGACAATGTGATGGGATGGTAGAGCTATGAGTGAGAGACAAGGCCTCAGTGCCGGGCCTGATCTGAGCAGGAGCCTGAACACCTTATCCTGCTCTAGGAGGAAAGATGGCTTAGGAGTCTTAGCAGTAGCTGGGCAAGACTCAGATAGTAACAGGGTGTACTTAGGGCTCTAACATTAGTTAAACCCAATATTGTAATATCAGTTTTTTTCCAATAAAAAAATTTACATAGAAAAGTAAAGCAATGTACTTGAAGCCGGGTTCCTCCAGACCCTAAAACACACCTCTACTGCTAAATTCTAACTCAAGAAGAAACAAGACCCTACTACCACTGCCCATTTTCCCTACCAACTTGCAGCCTCTTGGTTCTGGCAGATATTCAGGTAATGCACCTGAATTAACATGGTAGTGACGACCTGGTGCAGTTTTCTTCAAATTTTTCACCCACCATAATGTACTAAGCCATTTTATCTCGATGAATGTTTTAGCCATTAAGAGACTCATGAAAATAACAAAACCATCTCCTGATCATCTGTCATGAACAGGAGATACGAGGTTTCTGTAGCAGAGATGATACAGGTTTATACTTCGGTTTATATTACATAACTTGCATTGGGGACTTAGCTCAGTGGTTAGGGCCTTTGCTTAGCATGAGTTCTGCATTTCATTGCCAGTTCTACCATAACAGAGATACTGTATATGTGTATAAAAATAATAATAATCTGTCTAATTTGTATTTCTTTAACATCTTGACACTGAGTTCCACCTACTATATCTCTCTGGTCAAAGCTGCTACCCTGTCTGAATTGTCCAACCACAGTGTACACACATAGACAAAAACCCTGTTTTTTTCTTTTTAAACAAATCTTGTTTTCCATTGACAGAAAGTCAGCCACAGTAGCAAAAACACATTGAGATTTCAGGAAATGATAAACCCAATGAGCGAGGAATACATAGTTTAGAATTACTGTACAGTATTATCACCAATTTGGGAATTATGGTGCTGAGTGTAAATGGCTCTCCAACTCCACTTGTTTACTCTTAGTGTTTATGGACACAATTAGGGCATAATGTATACAAACATGAGCCAGGATATCTGGAGGACTCTGGGAACATGGCCCTCCTCTAAGTGCTGCCTCAAGCAAGAAAGAAATATGGGATTCTGCAGAGGGCGCATGATATGGTTTGCCATGAGAAGGGCCTGAGAAGGGACTTCTGGAAGCTTCCTGGAGGAAGGCAGAGAGACCCCACACACTAGTCAACAGTGAAAGGCGGAGCAATGCGCAGGGATGCTGAAGAGCCTTGGAAGTGTTGGCCACCTGGAGTGACTAGCAGGACCACCATCCCTACTATAGGCCACAGTCACCACAGCGCAGCTCGGCCCATGCACCTCGGGAGAAGGTAGGGAACACCTGGGGCACCTTTAGGGCCTGTCTGGGAAGGGTGAGGGGTCTGAGTGTGGGTGATCACCCTCAGGACCACAGTGGGTTGTAACTTTCCCGTGGACTCTGGAAGCCTGCTCTCCCCAGGGAGAGTCCGGCTTTGTGCGAGAATGGAGAAAACCCTGACACTCACCAACTTGCATACCGTGCGAGCCACCAGGACTGAGAGCGCCAAGACGCGAGTACCCGTGAGCCCAGGCTGCCTGGTGTGCTGAGGAGAGGGCGGGGCCTACGGGGAAGGCGGAGCCTCCGAGGCACGCAGGAAGTTGGGAGGGGCGAGGCCTCAGAGGAGCAGAGCAAAGCGAGCGGACGGCTCTGAACAGCGTGGAGGCGGGTCAAGACCACAGGGCAGGGCCTAGATGGGGGGCGGACCCGCAGATTGCCGGAAGGAAAACCGAGCCCCGCCAGGCGGCTCCCCGCGATCGGAGCATGCCCAGTGTGCGGCCTAGCCAGAGCCTCCGCGCAACCGTGCTGGATTCAGGCAGGGTAGGCACAGGCATCCTGCACCCGCCCTCCCGTCGGGCCAGTTGGGTGTACCTGCTTCTGGGGCTCCTCTTGCTAAACGAACCAGATGATGCATTCCTGCTTCTGTTTCTCGGTTCTGTACCTCAGTTTACCTGCTCGTGACACATAGTCCTAGGCCATATACCACTGGCTGAGTGCCTGCCTAGTGCATCCAAGAGATCTGAATCCAGGTCCCGCCCCACGGGACTGTGCTGAGGCTAGAACAGTACTGCTCACCTGGGGCTGCACTTGAGGGTTGTGTGTGCTACTGGGCTGGTGCCCTGGGGACCAGGCCGCAGGCTCTGCTGCATCTGGCAGGCTCTAACCATCAGTGTAGGAGGTCTTCCTGACCCAAGCAATGGGGTTGCGACATTTGCTTTTCAGTGAGCACAGGTGCCACTGCTTGGGTTTCTGGTTGTCAGAAATTCAACTATGTGCACCTGAAAAGCCATGTTTAGTCCTTACCTCCTTACTGCAGAACATGACCTTATTTGAAAATGAGACTTTTACAAAAATAAGTTGAAATGAAGTCACAAATTGGTAGGATCCACTCCAATAGGGCAAGTGTCTTTATAAGCAGAAAGCCATGTGTAGGCCCACACATAGAGGGGTGCATCTACAAGCCAGGCACCTGGAGCTATCAGATGCTGGAAGAAGTGAGCCTTCCGAGGGAGCATGGCCCTAAAAACACCTTAATTTCAAACTTCTAATTTTTTATTATTTTAACCCACCCAATTTTTGGCACTTGGTGTGGCCATTCTAGAAAATGAGTACAGACACCACTGTATTTAACTTGATGTACATACAGGAGAACGATCACCCGGAAGCCTCGGGGAGGTGCCCTCCTTAGCAATTTCAGGGGTCCTATCACAAGTTCATCACATGTTGGAAGCACCATTTTACATACCTCCTAAATTCTGTCTAATTAAAAGAAATCTTACTAGCCTGACCCTAACCTTCCTATTTTACAACTCGTCTATCAGGATTTGGCCAATATTCATACCCTGGTTGTGTGACTTGCAGGATCCAACATGTTATCACTGTTAGTAAAGATTGTTCAGGGAATCTCAGCAGGGTTTGTTTTGTGATAAGCCCCAGTAAATTGTCATCAATTCTCTAAAAGCCCCCATCCCAAGCCATGCCTTCTCGGAGGCATGTTTAAATTAGCTGCAGGGAAAAAAATGAAGTAGACCCTGGTTACAAAATGATGATAAAATTAAGTCACTTTTTCTCTATTGAACCTGGATACGGCCTCAAAATCCTACTCATCATTGTGTTCCAAATAAGCATTTAACCTCAAATAACAGGAGAAATAATTTGCCACTAATCACTGTGAGACTTTAAGGATTTCACCCAACTCTTCCAATCTTCAATTTCAACTGCTAGAAAAGAATTTTATAAGAACTTACCCTACAGGAACAGACATGTAGACTATCCTTACCTATTAAAGTGTGTGCATAAGGGTGACAATAACTAACTGAATAATAATACTATGCAACTATCCTATTACAATCTTACTACAGGGACTCAATCAGAACTGGAATCCTAACGTAATTGAGAAGGAGAAATAGCATCCAGATGGAATTAGAGTGCCTACTCAGATGTAAAAAATACACTGAAGCTACACTTATTACATGAGTATGACTCTTTTAAAAAAAGTCTGAGTAGGGACTGGGGATTTAGCTTAGTGGCACAAGTGCCTGCCTGGCAAGTGCAAGCTCATGAGTTTGATCCCCAGTATGACAGAAAGATCTGAATAATATGATAGTATGAATTTCTGGCTATTAAACAGAGACTACCTGAAATTAGCATCTGATTCCCCACCCCAGGAAAGAAAGGCCTATGGAGTGATCCAAGGCCCATTCAGTGAAGGAATCAGGAGATATGAACAAAATAGAGAACAGTGCAAGCATCCAGGGCACATGCATGGACCTGGTTCTATGGCAGGACTAAGTCATCTGTGCTAGAGAAGAAGGAAGGTCTGTATGGGACACCCAGGATCAGGAATCAAAAGGAATAAGAGGAAGAAGGCTAAACCTAACCCAGAACTAGCCCTCCAATAGATAAGGACCCTGGAATATGATATCTCAGGATGTGCAGTGAACAGAATGAAAACCAACACTGCCTGCATTTGCTGCTGTAATTTCTTCCTTTTAGGATAATTTCAAAGACCCTAAATTATTTTCATCAAGAGCTTCCCCAGTCTCTTTCCTTTGTTCCATTACACTCTTATCCTGCCAGCATTTCCTCTCTACCATTAAAAGAACCTAAGATTGCTCCAAAGCAGAGACGTGGCTTGATGTGAGGAACGGTAATGACCACAGGATAGATTAGGAGATTTAAGACATAGTTTCCACCCTGCCTGTCACTGTCCTGTCACACCACTGACTTCTCCAAAGGGTGACAGCATGTTATGATTTGTATCCGGAATGTTCTGTAAAAGGTCAAATGTAGAAATTTTGATCCCCAACACAGCAATGTTTGGAGATGGAACTATGGCAGGTGATTGAATCATTAAGGCTCTAACTTCCTTAATGAATTAATCCACTGAAGTATTTATAATTTGATAGCATTATTGAGAGGTGCTGGAAATGTCAGGAGGTTAGATTTAAAGTAGTGAAAGTGGATCACTGAGGGTGTGCTTGGGAAAGGTATATCTTGTCCCCAGCCCTTCCTCACTCCTGATCTTTCTCTGCTTCCTGGATGCTATGAGGCCAGCTTCGTTCCTCAGCCACACCCTTCTTTCCATGATGTTTCCATCTCACCACAGCTCAGTCATGGAGTCGGAAAGTTACAGACTGAAACCTCTAAAACTGTGAGCTGGAATAATATTTCCTCCTTTCAACTGATTATCTCAAGCATTTTGCCATGGTAATAGAAAGCTAACACACACACTATTAGCCTGGATGGGTAAAAGTCCTGTGGGCTTTCACATCTTCATATTAACAAAACATTCTTCTCCGGGAAGAAATTTCCATGAAAAACTTTTTACAGAAGTGGGAAAACCACAAGAATGTGTGTGCAACTTCAGTTTGACATCTTCAAGGGACCCCTTGGATTAGCCAGCTTTCTTGTGGGCACTGGGAACCATGTTAATTTGCAGTTTCTTAAACATCTAAATGGATACCTTTCAGGTTAAGCGAATGAACATGACATGTGATTGCTTCTAATGGTTTGCAACCCAAGAAATTTGTTTAATAAGCCTCCCTTTTCAAGCTACTTTGTGACATTAGAGACCATTTACAACAAAGCTGTCTTCAGTAGTCAAACTTAATCCTTACTACCCTACCTTTGGGAAATGAAAGGATTTTGTAACGATCACATAAAACCTTATGTGGTTTAAAAGCCCAGAACTCTGGACAGACGTGTGATGGTGGTGTAACAAAAGAAACATGTTACAGAGTTCCCACTTTAAGTGTTTTACATGTGCTTTGCTTTTAGGAAAGCATATCCAGGAGAGAGCTTCCCGATTAACACTATCGATTTTCTTAGCTTGGTTATTCCTATAGAGACTGGAGTAAAGAGCTGGAGTTAGTGCCTCAGGCCTGGGTGAGGCTGGGAACCGAAAGAATTTTGGAACAGGAACCAAGACAGGGAGGGTGCTGTCAGGACCAGGGGTGGACAGCTCATGCCTCTGATTATATGCCTGTTGCAGGCTATGTGTCCTTTAGCATGGCTGAAGGCATAATGATGAGATAGCAGCAAAAATTATAATTTACAAATGGACAAGAGATGAGTCAGGAAGGAGGGGGCTTTGGGCTCCCTCATGGTGAAGCCATAATGAAAGAAAATCTTTCTTTTCAGGATCTCCTGGGAGCTACTATTGAGATCTGGATCCCTTTCTGGCTATTGTTGGGTCAGAAGGGCAGAAAAGAGGACCCCACCTCTAGGAAAGGAGCCAAAGGCAACCAAAAGTCTTTTGAAAGACTTGTACTGAGACCTCTGTTAGAGGCCTGATGGATGTGTGGACTGGAGGTGTGTTTAATGAGTCTTGTCACAGGCTAAATAATACTTGGTTGAATGGTGTATAGATAAGGAAATGAGGTTTGCCATCTGGAGCCATCAGCATCTCCCCAGAAATGTGCTGGGGCAGTGGGATGCAACCACCTGTAACAGAGCTCCTTCAATAAGCATTTTCTCCAAGCCCAGTGCAGTGGATAGCTCCTACCTTTTTTAGTTTTTGTACTGGGAATCGAACTCATGACCTTGCACTTGTCGAGCAGGCTCTTACGCCACTGAGCTGTATCTCTGGCTTTTTATTTTGTTGTTGTTTTATTTTGTTTGTTTTTTCTTTGATAGTCCCTGCTTTTACAAAGCAGATTTTCTGCTGGATATCTGATGGGGTTGGAAGGATAACATCAAGAAAGACCTCTACATGAGGAGAAACACCTGTCCAGAGGTAGAACTAATATTGTGTACAGAATTCAGATCCAGTTGCCCAATAATTGTCAAAAGATCATCCCAAACCTTACATAACTTTTCCTTTTAAAATGTACCCACTGTGGAAACTTGAACACTCAGGAAATATATATCCTGTATGCAAAGAAGTAAATAAAATCTAATTCTTCAAATGTATCTTCAGCCCAGAAAACTGTCTGCTGGTGGAAACATTTGGAGGGAAGATTTTCAACCTGTACTGGGCTATTTGAGTGTCGTTCACTCAGAACTAAGGATTTTGTTAGATGTTGGCCCTTTTGAAATTGGCTCCTACACTCATTACAAAGTGTTTTTGATCCATTTTCAGGAAGGGCTTTGTTTGTAACACGTTGTTGGCAGTTTGGGCAAAATCTTTTAAGTGGTGTGAAGTGCTAGGGGGTGTGCACCTGGGCACCAGGAGA